AGAACCAAGATACTCATGTAATGGTGCAAGATCCCAATGATGAATGTAACTGTATTTTATACCTAAAATGTACCAATAAACTTAATGGAAAAAAAAGAAAAAAACCCCAAGTCTGTCAATACCTGATTTTTACTTTTGAGACTGATGTTGGACTAACGTGTGTGGTTTTAAGACACTAAAACTGTGATAATTTGTCATCACTCAAGTAAGATAGTAGTACAAAGAAAGTTCCTGATTAAAGGAGCATCAAGAGTAAAGACAAATGAAAAATATGATTCTCAATTTAATTCTAAACTAGATTTTTCCCCTTTTATTAACAAGGATATTAGTGAAGTAATTGATGATATTTAAATAAGTCCTGAAAATTTGATTAATAGTATCATATCAATGTTAGTTTTCTAGTTTTGAGAATTGCATTGTGTAGAGGACCATAATATTGATTATGCCCAAAGCAGGCTGTAAAGAACTCCACAATTGGCTTGTTTTGAGAATTGGGTCTGGCTGAAGCCCACGTGCCAAGGTTAGTGTAACTCACACCCAAATTCCATTCCCACAACTAAAACCTCCTAACTAGAAGGACAATGTGCTAATTACAACCAAATATTTTGCTCCTAATTTGAGAATGCTTTGTCTTGTCCTTTATGAGCCCTGTTTACATTAATTTCCATAGAAACTGCAGGTAGCCTGCCTTTACCACAATCGATTGCCAATAAAAGTCAGTGCCTGCAACTGGCCAGTGCCTTTGTTGGTTTCACCAGCATTGGTCATCCTGTCTCCCTGCTTTCTCTTTCCTAGTTCTGTCTTTTAGTTTCATTTCTCAGGCCTGCATCATATACTGGACAGGTTACTGGAACCTAACTGCAAGTGTCTCCAGGAACACTGGGATTGTACTATCTTTGTATTTACGAAACAGACATGGAAGTATTTAGGGATGAATAGACATTCTATCTACAATGTATTCTCAAGCAGTCAACTTCCTACAAATATTAATAAAATGTATATGTAACTAAAAATGAACAGAATGATGAAACAAACAGGGTAGTCAGTTTGAAATTAATTAAATACAAAATAGGTACATATGTACTATAATCCAGATATCATCCTTATAGGCTATGCTGTTTTGAATTAACATTATATGGATAAAGACTTTCTAATAATTTCACCAGAAATGTGGCTGCAGCAAACATTTTTGTGATTTTGCCAGCCTTTACCAGGGACTGACAGGATTACAAAAGTGATACTGGTTAATATTTGCATTCTGTTCTAGAAATGCAGTTCCCCCCACATATATATACAGAATCTCTCTGCTGCACATTCATGATCGCACTCATGTGTGATGGTTGCCCTCTCCTATAGACCTAGCCTTGCCAGCTCAGAGAGGTAAAATGTTTCTTACTCGCCTCTACGGGTAAAGTGAACCAATAGACAAAGAAGTTGAGAACATGATCCTCTTCTTTGACAATGTATAAAGGAAATCTTGGAGCACGACAGTATTATCATTACTCTTCTATTTTCAACAAACAGCATCAGTGATACTTGCTATCATTTTTAAGTCTCCAATTTGTAAGTCCAGTGCTCCAGAGGTTGCTCCTTCATTGTGTTTTATGGACAATCTGCTTTAAGAGGATTTTTTTCAATCACTGGCCTTCCCACCCTCCACTAGAAAAGTATTGAATAGCTACTGACCAAGATGCATCATGTACAGGTACAAAGACCCAATGATAAATGTAAACGAATTGTATACCTAAAATATATCAATAAAAGAACTAAAAAAAAAAAAAAGCAAACAAACAAAAAAGTATCTATTTCCAAAGGTCTGGATGGGATTAAGGAAAACCGATAAGATGTGATGTACCCCAGGGCTTATAACAGTGGGAAAGAGCCCAAAAGTCAAAGGAGAAAAGTTATTAGAACCACAAAGAATAATGTAAAGAAAGGGCCATCTTATAGGATCTGTCACCTTTAATAGAAGGATGTAGGTGGCCTATCTAGGAAAAAGCTAGCGGGGGAAAAGAGCCTAACTTTATTCTCTTCCTGCTGTCATTTTGTTTCCTGGAGTCTCCTATTGGTTGGACCCAAAAGTAACCTAGAAGGCAGTCTGTGTGAGTCAGATAACCACAACTCAGAGCAGGCTGGATGATCAGGAGGCTCGAACAGAAAATATCAGTACAGTCTATAGCCTCTGCCTCTGAACACCTTTTCTTGTCCTTTGTTCACATAAAAATTGGACATACAGATAGGGACACAAGAAGAGTTCAATTAGCTATCATAACAAGATAATTAAATTTAGATACACTCTCACCTGAAAAATGAAATGTTAATCATTATTGTTACTCTTTCTATAATGCCAGGGAAGGAGTGGGGACATGTGATAAACAATTAATACAAAACATAAGTGTTAGAATCCCTGCTTCTATAGTTCGTTGTGAAAATTAAGTTTAGAATCCTAGCATCTTTGTGACACTAACTATTGCATGTTCCCCTTTCTTTCTACCAGCACTTCACTGTCTGATATTCTTTACTGAGTGACCCAAATCTTTGATCCTGCAGAGTTTGTTTCCTTGATGTTCCTCTCTTTGGGTTATTCACTCATCAGGGACACTGTTTCCCCATTACCTTGCGCCCTTCACCCCTCCACCCTTCCCTATTTACATACTTCATTTCCATTTTTTTTCTTTTCTTATTATTTTTCCTTTCCATTCTTTCCTTTCCCCATCTCCTCCCTATTGCTTCTTTTTGACATACACATTTTTATCTTTCCTTAGGTTTCCACATCGTTTAACTAGTATTGCTCCTCAGAGATTATGGTGACCCCCACGTGCATATTTTCTCATATCTCCCCTGTTATCGCTCTCAGGAAAATTTGTTTAAGTAGAATTTTTTGGAAGACTGAAAAACATTCAGAACTCAAAGAAATACCTTTATAATGAAGCGCTTACACGTACTGAGAGATATTTCATTAATGTGAATCAACCCCTATGTGCCCACCTGCCAGAAGAAAATGCTGGCTTCTGTTTCCTTAACAGAAGAAGGACAGGCTTCCAGCTCCCATTGACTTGGGGGCGACCCCTGAGTTTTCTTCGCTGCCCATCAGTTGGCGCCTTTTGTAGTCTCCCCCACCCCCACCCCACCCCACCCCACCCCACCCCAGCGTTGGGGGCTTGCAATCGCGCAGCAGCTCGCAGGTCACATGTCCTGCCGGAGAGGGGGGAATCCCAGCGCCGGAGCTGCGCTGCGGGAGGAGTCTTCGCTGCGCAACCGAATCGCCCTCCGCCCGCTCCTCTCCGGGCCTCCGGGTCGGGCCTTGGCGTCTCCACTGGGATCAACCAGCCTGCCTGCCTGCCAGCCTGGGCGACACCAAGGCGGTCTCGGCGTGAGCGAGGGGGAACTGACTCCCGCCCCCGGTAGGTTTTCGCTGCGCACGGTCCGCCCAGCCCTCCTGGCACAGTGGTCCGACAGACGCCGCCGCGGAGATGCGGGATTAGGGGTGGCTGCGGCTGGCACGCGGAGGGCAGCCTCGGGGAATGGTGCGGCAGGGCAGGGCCTGCGGCGTGGGCGGGCTGGCTTCGCTGCGGCCCTGCGCCGGGTGCCGGCCGCTTCCAGCGGGAAGACTGCGGGGGCAGCTGAAGGGCGTCCCCCGCACTGCCGGCTGGCGTCAGCGTAGGGATGAGACCCCTCCCCATGCCTGGCCGGTGCCTGCTGCGTCGCTAGCGACGAGAGTACGACAAGGGTGCCAAGAGCCTGGGTAAGACCCCTGCAGAGTCTGGCCAGGCGCAGCCCCCAAGGGCCGGTGGCTTAATGGCCGCCCGCGCCGCGGACCCTCTCCGGGCGTGAGCCCCTGGGGACTGGCTGGATGCGCGAGAGCGCTGCTGCACTTCGGTTTCTCCCAGTCCTGGGAGGGGGGAGGTGACCAGGCGGAGGAAGGCGCCCTTCCCTGTTCCCGGAAACGGTGGCTGGTGGGAAGCGGCGAGGTGATGGAGATGGTCAGTCTAGGTAGGCCTTCAGGTGGAGAAACTGAGGCCCGAGCACAGCGGAGACTGCCCAAGACACTAGATCCGGAGCTCTAGTTTTACTCCTACATTCTTTTTCCAAGAGGGCTAGTTAAGATCTCCTGGGTGTGTCTGGCCCAGTTTGAGGTCCTGGGCCTAGATCTAGAGGGTGCCGCGCTGCTCTCCCGCTGTGCTGCGCCCGCCGTGCCTTGGGGCATGAGCTCCTCAGGGTCCGTGGGACCCAGGCTTCCGGTGCTCTGCCAGTACTCTCCTCGTGGCACCGCAGGGCGGCTCCAGTGATGATCTCACTTTGCGGACCATTAGCAAAACCTGCAGATGTATGCGAGTGTGCACGCGTGTGTATTTCCCCAGGAGAACTAGACCTGGTAGGGGAAGATGTTTCAGGAGCGGATTTCTAGAGGCCACTGCACCAGGTGCTTTAAGAGGCGAGAAGACTAACACGAAGAGAATTCTTACGATTTTTTAAAGGATAAACTTATTACAGAACATTCGGGAGATTCATTCGGGAAACAGAAAAAAAAAAGAGAGAAAATAGATACCTTAAGACTTCATTTTCTAGATTGTTGAGATTTTCTTAATATCTTCTTAAATTGTTCTCTACATACATGCATTTGAAGTTTTAAATCAATAATATGGACAGAAAATGATATCTTTAAAATTTGCGTGTCTTAATTAACCGTAGGAATCAATACCTATTCTTTTGTGTATTAGTGAGCGAACTGATTTAATTCTTTTGCCCATTTTTTAGTTGAAGTATCTTTCTCACTGATTTTTAAACAAACTATGCGTTTACACATTAAGGTAATAATTTTCTGTCATATATGTTGCACCAAAAGAGGCTTTCATGGTGGTTTTTACTAATTTTAATTCCAGGTGATTGTTTGAATACGTTTATCAATTTTTAAGTTGTGATGGTGGTTAAGTGGTTATATAAATTTGACAAATCTCATTGAAATATACAATTGCATGGTGCATTTTATTGTACGTAAAATATACCTCAATAAAGTTGAATTTTTAGAAAGGACAGTTATGATGCTGGGTTTAGAGAGAATCTGCCTAATCAGGTATCAAAAACTGTTATAAAGCTTCAGTAATTTAAATAGCATGGTCCTGGCGCCAAAATACACAGAGTTGCAAAGATCCACAAACAGATGCATATATATGATAATTTAATACATCATAACTGAAGCAATTAAATTAGGGATTTTTAAAAAATGGCCTTGGGCTCCCTGCCAGTCACATTCACCATCCCAGTGTCTGGCGCAAGACTCAGTAGTGTTGAAATGAATGCTTAGTAACAATCCTAAAAGTAACACATGTTCGTACTTGCTTTGGCAGCACATATACTAAAAGTGATACATGTTCTTTGCAGAAATGTAGAAGGCAAGACAGAAAACCTCCATCTTCCATACTCTTCATCTCTCCTTTACCAAATTATACTCCACATTAAAAAATAAGTTGATCTTATTATGCACATTTTTCTACAGTTTGAATTGACATAGCTTGGAGTTTCCCAGAGACTGTCAAGTCTGTTTGGATTGCTCTAATAGATTAACAAAATTGGTGGCTTTAACAACAGAAATATTTATTTCTCATACTTCTGGAGGCTGGAAGTTCAAGATCAGAGTGCTGGCATGGTTAGGGTTCTGGTGAAAATCCTCTTCCTGGTTTCAGACCAAAGGGTAGGATTCCTTCTGTGTCCTCACAGGAAGTATAGCATAGAGAGGAAGCAAGCTGTCTCCTGTTTCTTCATAAGAGAGTACTAGTCCTCCTTGAGGGATCCACCCCCATGATTTAATTATGTTCCAAAAGTCCCATCTCTGAATATCATAGCCTTGTGGATTAGCGTTTAACATAGGAATTTGGGGGGGGACACATTCAGTCTGTAGAAAAGACCTAGCTAAGCCTGTGCTGACTCCTCCTCCTCTTCCTGTTCCACCTCCTCCTTCTTTCTGTCAGTATATTTAAAAGCTTCCCTTTCTTTTTAAGTTTGCATAGCATACCCTTGTATGATTATCTAAAAATCTGTTCCCTGTACCCGAATGTTGTTTACCTGCAGTTAGTTGCCTTTTCCTTTTTTCTCTCTTCTCATCCCTCTCCATTTTCCTCCTTTCTTTCCCTTTTCCTCCCCAAATCCCCTTTCTCCCTTTTTCTTTCTATTAGAAACGAAACTGATATGAAAATTCCTTGTCCATTTTTAGTAGTCTGTGTTGGAATTTCTGCAAGGTATTTTTTACAAGTAGAATTGCTGTGTTAAAGGAGACACAAAAATAAAATTTGCTGGACATGGTGGGGCACGCCTGTTATTCCAGCACTTGAGAGGGGTGAGGTAGGAGGACTGCTTCCAGTTCAAGGCCAGCCTGAACTACATACTGAGATCTCGTCTCAAAAACAAAACAAAACAAAACAAAAAAAGTGTGTAAGTACCGCCGCAATATTACCGCCAAAGACTGCAGTTTATATGATGATGTTCATTTGTAACTGTACCATTCCCTCTTGAAGTAAATTTAATCTAGAGTATGGTAACTATAGAGGTTAATTTTGGAGAAAGCCACTTCTTTCTATTTCTGAGTCTGTCAGGTGATAAAATGTTCTTCTCCATTTCTTAATGACTTCTTTAATTTTTACATTATTGGTACATATTTGGAGTACATAATAATTATATTCCTTGAAGGGATGTGACACATGCAACAAATATATCTTATTTCTTTTTCTTCCCTACCCCTCCCTGTATCTCTTGGTTCCCTTCCCTTTTGCAAAAGATCTATCTCCCTATTTTTTATTATCTGTCTTTTCTTTTAGTCTGTATACATTTTGGGTTTCTCATGCAAGAGAAACGATATATTTAAACTTGTCCATCTAATTTACTTCACTTAACAATATGGTCTCAGGTGCATCCATTTTCCTACAAATGAGTTTCTAAAATGTTCTTTAGTAGAATTTTGTAGTATACATGTATATTCTGCATATTAAATTTATTCCTAGGTATTTTAGTTGAGTATTTGCTTTTCCAATTTGATTGAGATATTTTATTCTATTAATTTTTGATTGATTAAGTGAAAGCATTTATTTTATGCATAGTATAAATATATATTGTATGCATAAATATAATTAGAGGTAATCAGCCATATTTTTTGTATTCTAATTCTGTTTCCTACCACATCCCAATAGTTTTTACTATTTTTTTGTGGGAGGGGTGCCAGGAATCAAACTCAGGGCCTCACACTTACCAGGCAGGTGCTGCGCTGCTGAGCTACATCCCCAGACTGTTTTTACTATTTCTAATGGTTCTTCAGCTGATTTTCCTGGACCCCCCAATCTTCGCAGAAACAATATTGGTTAAGAATATGGGCTCTAGAACCAGTCTCTTTGGGTTCAGGTCTTGACACCCCACCTAAAGTTTTTTTTTTACCCTTCAGTACAAATTAATGGTTCCTAAGCTTTTTCAGCTATAAAAAGGGATTAATAACCTCTCATAGGCTTTTTATAAGGATCGCTGAGGTACTTAGAACAGTGCCTGGCATGTAAGTGCTCAGCAACTGTCTAGAAATAAATTGATCTCTGCACATTTTTGTGATCAGAGTCTTTGATACTCCCATTTTTATACTTGAAGAATTGGGGCCCACAGAGATCAGAAGACTTCAGGTGGCCTTTTATTTGTTTAGCAGTCATTGACTCTCTTCTGTGCATAGAGTACTGTGCTGCATGCATGAAGGATATCAAAGATAAATTCAACTGTATCCACTAAAAAGAGATTTAAAATTCTCATTGGGGCAAAAGGGGCTATGAAGAAAGCAATAGAAGGCACACAGCATCATGAATAACAGATAGGCTTTGAAATTTGTCTTGTGTTTGACTTGCCTGCTTTTGATTTGATTTGCTATCTTTTTTTTTCAATTTGAATGGAATTAATTCCCTTGCTACTTAAAAAGTAGAGTTGCTATTTTGATCAGAAGAAGTAGATTCAAGGGTCTAGCACAACCCTGGGATATGCAGGAGGGACATAATAAGTTATGTGAGTTATATAAATAGACGATGCAGTCAGAACTTGCTCATCTTTTGGACCCAACTGCCTAGGAGAATGATGGTATCATTCATGAAGGACGGTGGACTTGGGAACGTAATGGTTCATAAGTGCTTATCTCCTGATACCTAACCTGGGGTTCTCCTCTCACACCCCTATGGCGCCTTTAGCTTTTCAGAACCTGCACTAGAGTGTACTGTGAATATCACTGCATTTATTCATGTTTATTTCTGCAACTTTGACCTTTACTGGCCTCCCTGAGCCTTATACCTTAATGTGGTAACAGGAAGAATCCAGTTTAGGAAATGGTTGAGTGTCAAGTTGCACTTACAAAGCATGGATGTGAACTAAGTAAAAATTGTTCCATAGAATTGGGGTGTAAGGTTTAAATATCACATTCTTTCTCTTATGTAAGAAAAGCAAAGGGTAAATAAGTACCAGAATGGAGGATAGATGTTGGGACGTAGGAAAAATATATTCAAATGAGAAGAGGAACAAGGGAGGGGGAGAAGGGAGAATGGAAAGCAGGGAAAAGGAAAAAAGAGAATGAAAGGAAAAAATGGAAACAAAGCTTGTGCAGATGGGGAGGGGAAGAAGAGTTGAAGAGAGGGGAGGGAAATGGGAAAGAAAAAAAGAATTGGGAGTGTAGTATTGTGCTCACCAGTGTCAGTCAGTTCACAGTGAAGGAGTGTTAGCCTGAGCAGGTGGCATCGTGGGTAACTGTGGCATTGTGTGAAAAGCCATCACAGTGATCATGCTGACACAACCCTCCTTCTGTCCCACCCCCATGAGTGGGCTGGGAGTAAAGAACTTCCCCCCCAAACTACCAGTGAAACATTCCTTGTCTTTAGATTTCTTCCTCTGTGGTCAGTAGTATTAAAACTAGATTGATAAAGTGAAATAGATTATAGGTGGCGATGGACACCACACCTCCTGAGCTGCACTTGTTTAAATCCTTTAAGTAAATGGTTTAGAAGGCAAACAGGGATGTGCTCTTGAATGCCTGCATAACTCAGTGTGGCTGGAATCTTGCCAAGGTGGTCATCTAACCATCGAATGGAGAATGTGTCCTCAGCTGCTGTAGTCCAAGGAGGGTGTGCTAGATTGTATTGTGGATCTAAATACTTTCTGCCTCTTCCTGAGGTGGTGTGTGTCTCCCTAGTCACTGATGAGCCTCCTTTGGTCTGCCACAAAACCAACAATGTGCAAGAAAAGAGCAGTTCCACCTGCCTGGGTTCTGGAGGACAGACCTAGAACAGAGGCACAGTTGACCCATATGCTCAAGTAATGTGAGCTACAATGAAGGCTTTGTTCTTTAAAAAGAAAAAGAATGGAAGGAACAAAGGGAAGGAGGGAGGGAGGGAGGAAAGAAAACCAGTATACTATAAGGGAGCTTCTAGGAATTTACACAGTTGGTTTTTTTTTGTTTTTTTTTTACCTTTAAGCACCAATGTGAGCAGATAATAGACATTTTTCTTCTAAGTGGGTCTTACTCTTTTGTTTTTTGTGACCTATGTATAAACTTTTTTAAAAATTTAAAGTAATTACAAAGTACTCTAGCACTCAACTCTGTTTATTTAAAATTTAATGTAAGGGAATAGAGGTGTATCATCACATATTTCTTTTTTCTTCTGTGGCATATTTAGAATAAAAGGCATTTATTGCTTCCTACTTGTAGCATATGTACCTGAGTTGTACGTACTTGATTGTTATATATATGTAAGAATCAAAACCAAAAAATCTTAGTTCTTATCAGCTAATGAGATTCATTACTGAATCCTGTCCTTACTTTGACTGTACAGTGATAGGGTGCATGGGTCTTTATGCCATTAGAACATTCTAGAAATTTCTCTGAGCAGATTGCTACATCCTTTCTTTTCTCCTGAGGATCTAGAAACTAGCCTACTTCTTTTCTTTTCTATTGAATCTTCACCTCCCCTTTCCATGCTGTGTTGAAGGAGTGAATTTCCCTATCCTATTGCTTTTACCAGTAGGTGGTGCATGAATTTGATTTGTGGCATTCTTAAGCAAGTGTGTAAAGGTACTTGCATGTTTTAATTGGGCCTGTGTAAGGCTTTTGTACAACATGAGTGCCCACCTCAGGTGGCTGTTTATCTGCACTTTGATCTAGCAGGAGAGGCACATCAAGTGATTTGCTTCTCACCGACATTCTGGATCTGAATCCAGTTGGGCCACACCTATCCACAGATCTATGTGTGAGAAATGGATGTTTTTATTGTAAATTATAATGATTTGGGGCTGTTGATCACTCCAATAAGCAATAATCACTGCAGGTGAGGACAGTAGGTCCTCTGAACTAGATCTCTCCCCTTCCCTGATCATCAGTGAAACAGCAGTCTTGTTGCCATATTTTTTAAGTAAAGAACTTTGTGTAAGATGTTAATGACTTTATTGTGCCCAGTAGGGAAAACTGCCTGAGATTAAAGGTTATTTCATATCAATTCTGGGTGCTCCCATTTCTGCCCTGGCTGCCATATCTTAGTAATGATAGCATTTGGTGGGTGCCTGGCATTTTCCTGGTAGATATTTTCCAGGCATTTCCCTGGCTGCTTGTCTTATCTTGTTGACTTTATTTAGCTTGCTTCTGGACAGCCTTTCCTTTGTGATAATTGGCAAGTGGGCTGTTTTCTTCCATATGTGTGCAAACCTTGTCATTCTTCATAGGGAAGAGGTTTACTTTCAATACTATAGAGAGTATTTACTGGCTTTATATTCAGTAATAGCAAGGACAGGGAGGACAGTTCAAGCAGGAAGCCACCTGAATGGCACTACACCAGGAGCATGAGCTCAGCCCACTTCAATATTTGGTCTCTTCTAGTTGTGATGTGGAACTGATGAGGCCACATGGATGTACAAGCCCATGATTTTATTAAGTCCACTGACCCAAGGAGATCAGAGGGAGAAGCAACCAGACAGTAGTACCCTAGAAATTCATAAACCAATAAGCCCAGGATTCCCTGATATTCAAACCTGTCCTTGCTTCTTTCCCTCCTTGGGTACTATCCAGATCTCTCACTTAGGGTAAGAGATTGGAGTAGACTCTTTCACCTCTGAGGTTCCCTAGTATAATTTGCTTCTGTTGCTGAAACCAGGCTTGTCTTTTACTTTCAATACTTATAGAAAACATTTAGTTTTTCATTGACCTTACTGGATTTATACTGACATTGTCCTTTTTATTCTTTTGTTTGGTACAAGTCTGTTTTCCATCAGAACATTAGACTGACATACTCCTAAAATATCATGAGTTTGATTATAGGGAGATATATGTATATAGTTTTTACTCTGGATTATTATATTTCTGAACACATGTAATACTCAGTAACCCCATGAGATTGGTATTATTAACTTCTGTTACAGAGCCAAGGAACCAAAGATGTAGAGAGATGAGGTAACTTCTTACCAATAAGTAGCAGAGCTGGAATTCACACCAACATGCCAGTGCCTTCAGGCCTGTGCTCCCGAGTCTTCACTTTCCACAGCATTCCTTTCTGGACCAGAGTCAGGGGAACTGTCTCTTCTGTCTTCACCTCTGCTTATTTCTTTCCTCTCTCATTGAAAAGCTGCTTGTGGATCCTCCTCCAGATGTTCTTGTCCCTTTCAAAGCCTATGGCTGTAGTTTGCTTGTGTATGGGAGATGCCTTGTCTCACTGGTTTCTATGATAGTTCTATAAAAATAAAATAGAAGAATAGTCAGGACTAAATGATTATACAATTTGAAGTATAGCTGCATGAGCTTAGAGAAGTGTGAATGGAAGATAATATTAACTGACATTTCAGAGAATCTTAAGTATTATTTTTGGTTTGTTTGGCATATGCAGAAAAGACAAGAGTTTTCAGAAATTACTGTGCACAGTCAATAAGTACTTAACGTATGCTTATAGTGGAACTTGCTCTAAATGTGTATCTTTCCTCTAGGGCCTAGTTTGTGTGTGTGTGTGTGTGTGTGTGTGTGTGTGTGTGTATGTGTGTGTCTGACTATGTCCTAAGAACCCATGACTGTGTCGCTGGCAAATAAAAATTACTTGGCTAGCTGGTGATTTTTTAGCACACTCTATACCTAAGTATCTTTAGGCATGGGGATTTGGGTGAATGCACTAAGATCTCCCTACCTATACAAAGAATAGGATAGATTGTATAGATCACAAGTAGAAACAACTAGAGAACAGTTCACTACAGAAAATACAGTATCTTGTAGCACAGAGTCTTGAGCTAGAGTTTCCGGTTTGATACGTTCTAGGTTCCGTCCTTGGAATTTTTTTAACACTATCTTTACCATTTTCTACTTCCTTTTTCTTTAGGCTTGACTTGCAATGATTCTGGCCTGAATTCTAGGATGGTTCGTTCTTGGGACCAGACATGACTAAGAGTTGACCTCAAGAACATATCACCCTCTCCAGCTGCCATGCTTCTCCGGAGGCTGCGGCGACTCTCCTGGGGCAGCACTGCTGTCCAGCTCTTCATACTAACTGTGGTAACGTTTGGCTTGCTGGCTCCCCTGGCCTGTCACCGGCTTTTGCACTCTTACTTCTATCTGCGCAACTGGCATCTGAACCAAATGAGCCAAGAGTTCCTGCAGCAGAGCCTGAAGGAAGGGGAGGCTGCTCTCCACTACTTTGAGGAGCTGCCCTCTGCCAATGGCTCAGTGCCCATTGTCTGGCAGGCCACGCCCCGCCCCTGGCTGGTGATCACCATCATCACTGTGGACAGGCAGCCTGGCTTCCACTACGTCTTACAGGTCGTGTCACAGTTCCACCGGCTCCTACAGCAGTGTGGCCCCCAGTGTGAGGGATACCAGCTCTTCTTGTGCAATGTGGAGCGCAGTGTGAGCCATTTCGATGCCAAATTGCTCTCCAAGTATGTACCTGTGGCCAACCGCTACGAGGGAACTGAGGATGATTATGGTGATGACCCTTCAACCAACTCATTTGAGAAAGAAAAGCAAGACTATGTATATTGTCTTGAATCCTCACTGCAGACCTACAATCCAGACTATGTCCTGATGGTGGAAGATGATGCTGTTCCAGAAGAGCAAATATTCCCAGTCTTGGAGCACCTGCTGCGGGCTCGCTTCTCTGAGCCACACCTCCAAGATGCCCTGTATCTTAAGCTCTATCACCCCGAGAGGCTCCAGCATTACATCAACCCAGAGCCTATGCGGATCCTGGAGTGGGTCGGTGTGGGCATGTTGCTGGGGCCCTTGTTAACCTGGATATACATGAGGTTTGCCAGCCGCCCAGGCTTTAGCTGGCCTGTCCTGCTCTTCTTCTCACTGTATAGTATGGGACTGGTGGAACTGGTGGGCCGGCACTATTTCCTTGAACTGCGGCGCCTGAGTCCTTCCTTGTACAGTGTGGTTCCTGCTTCTCAGTGTTGCACCCCAGCAATGCTCTTCCCTGCACCTGCAGCCCGCCGAACCCTCACCTACCTGTCGCAAGTGTATTGCCACAAGGGATTTGGCAAGGACATGGCACTGTACTCACTCTTGAGGGCCAAAGGAGAGCGGGCCTATGTGGTAGAGCCCAATCTGGTGAAGCACATTGGGCTCTTCTCCAGCCTCCGGTACAATTTTCATCCCAGTCTGCTCTAGAGTGCCAAAAAATGCCTTTCAGAAAGTGATCAGTTCCTAGAGATTCAAACATTGAGTTCCTTATTTGATTGCTTGCAGCTATTTTCATGGTTTAATGTTGCTAGGAATAAAGGCACTGAGACAGCTGAGAAACATGCATTAATCAACATGGGCTTTGGTAAACCCCAGCAGGGCCAGCAGTTTGCTACAGGTCTGGACCTCTCTCCCGCCACACAGCCACACTGCCTCATGCAGTCTGTCCCACCTAGCGGGAGTTCCTTTAAATACCAGTTATGTTCCCCAGTTATTTGTAAGTTCTGCTTTGTGAGGAGCTTGTGACTCCCAAAAGTCTTGTGCACAGTGAAAAATGATTGTTTAGGATTTTAATGGTAGTATTTGGTGAACAGTGAGATCCTTTCGAATGGATTTCCTTCCATTGGATATGAGAATGAGTGTATGTTTAGAATGTAAGCCTAGAGAGGCAGGATTATGTTGGTATATTCCATTTGTTTCCTTGACCTGGTGTAATAAAAACTGTTAAAAGCCATGAAGCAAGTGATCTGGCTAGTTTATGGCCTGGCATTTTCTTTTCTCATATATCTGTAGTCAGTATTGTTAGTGAGCACTCTTACGTTATAGCAGGATCTGGAAGGACTTTCTGAATCATCAAAGTTCAATTGCCTATGTTCAATATGATTTAATAATGAATATTTATGCAATATATGGATTCTTTGACAGTTGGATATTTCAGATGGATTCAAAATGGGTGAATTGTTTATTAGTAGCATATCCTTTTCCCTCACTTTGGTTTTTTTTTTCCTCTTTTCACTGTACCATTTTTTTCTTCTCGTAGCATGATGGTATAGAAGAAAAGGCATGGGATGTAAAATCGTAAAACCCAAACCTTGTCATTGAGGTCTCTTGTATTCTAATGATAAGACTTTGAGAAAGTCATATAACCAGTCTGGGTCTCTGTTTCTTTGTCTGTAAAGTGAGGGTAGTAGTTGCTACCTTTTAAGTTAGGGTTGAGCATAAAATGATAGAATGGATATGAAACATCTAGCAAATGCTAAACCCATCAAGGATACTTGGCAGAGTTTTTTTTTCTATCTCTTGAAATGAGCATACAGAACTCCAGTGCATTTTGGGTAAAAACATTATTTAAAGTGTGACATAGGACAACAAGCTAACACCTGGGTAGCAGCTGGCCCAGTCCAAACACTACTAGAATAAAGGCTGACTTTTCCTTGTGTCTTCTGAAGGACATGCAGCTCAGCTTTCACCTAGCCCCACCTCCCACCATTCCAAAATTAAATTATTCATTCAGACTAGAAATGAACTGAGACTCCCATTGAACTCATTCCAAGACTACCATCTGAAAATTACCATTCTGAAAAGTTGCAAATAAATGTCCTTTGATAACACTTATTAAAATTGTGTCCAGCAAGTCCTTTTATGGAGATGGATGATTATGTGAGACAGTTCAAGCAGTTGTTTAGTTTGTTTTGATGCCATGTCTTTCATTTGCTTTTAAACTTCCACAGTAAACTTCTGTTTTGAGATCCATTCAAGAACACTAAGGGAGATGTAGGGACTGATCTGCCATACTGTACAGATGAATGATTTGAGACCTATAGATGTGAAACAGGTTCACAGCTGAACAGCAACAGAGCCAGGTTGGAAACATAGCTCTTCTTACTTTTAGCCCCTGTACTTTTTTCTGAACCACATTTATTTTTTATGTGGCCAAAGTCTGGTTTGTAAAAATCTTGATTGTAATCCAGACTAAATAATTTCTGTAAGCTAAAATAGCAGAAACCCATTACTCTGTTAGTCTTTAAGAATAAATGATAGACGTGTATATGTTCTGTGTTTACAGTGAGCTGTTAGATATCCCTCAGCAATGCCCAAAGTGATCAGAGATATGAGATGACTCATTACAGATACTCACATTCTACTCTCCTTGCTCCTGGAAATGGATTCAAGCCCAAGTTTTAGAACTGAACCACTTCCAATTTAGATTTGCTAAAGTTGTTACATAATGATTGGGTCTCCTTATGAGAGGCTTTTGATTAGTAACAGGAGAATCATGTTAAGCTAGCAGGCCCAAGATATGGAATCACTGATGTTTACATTTCTGCTCTTTCTAATTCAGTTGTCCACTACTTGCACATTTTCCTTCCCTGGCTTATCTATTTAGTGCCTCAGGCCATCCTTCCTTGTCTGTTTTCTCCACCTTCATCTCATGATATCTTTCCCCATTGATCTTAACTAAGGTCTGCCATCCTTGGACATTTTCTGCAAACAAACACAGGCTTAGTTCTGCCCTTTTATCCCGAGCCACTTCTAGATCCTTAGCCTTACACCAAAACTGAAGTCTCATTTAGTCAGGAGCAAGAGCCTAAACTGAGATACCCCTCCTATATCAAGAGTTATCAGGAGGGTGGAGATCTCAAAATCTTTCCCCTTCTCAAAGTTCCTTGTTGTGATTGAGTGTATTTGCATAGATATGCCAGTTGAAATAAAAGTACATGTTCTATCAAGGCTTCCTGAGAAGATTTCTGTCATTTTCTCTCCTATGGATGGATTTTTCTAATATGACAAATATGCTTCTTCCCTTTCCCCACCTTACACAGAGAATTGTGATGTCCCAAGGTAGTCAGTCATTCAGAAGTGCAGCTTGGTGACTGTACAAACAACCATAGTTACAGGTACAGCAATAACAGAACTTCTTTCTTTTTCTGGATAAAAACAAATTGTAGCTCCTACTATCTCACCCCTTACTAACATAAACCTGGTACAGTGCACTCTGTTTCCTGCCTCTTGCCCTAAAAGTCCTAAAGAGGCTATGGAGCTGTCATGGGTCCATCTAAATGATTCCCCTTGGCAACACCAACAAGATGTTGCCATACCTGCAGCCCAAAAGAGAAAACACAGCCTTCCATGAGAGAAATACACAGGGGCTATCCCAGGACACACTGAAAACAAAACCATTAGAAGACAATGAAAGGCAGTTCTGTGGTTCTGTGAAAGTTTCTCCTAACACATTCCATTCCCTCTGCCTGGAATCCATGTAAAAAACTTTGAAAAATAAAACCATAACCAACTCTCACAACCTGGACCTCACTCTTCGTTCATCCTCATTTTCTTCTCTTGTCCAGTCTCTCCATGTCCAGTATTCCTTGTTTTCTAGGCAGTTTCACTGGGGATCCTTTTACTCCTTGTTCAATGATTCGTTACTATGTATCAGATACTGTTCTAGTTGTTGGAGACATAGCCATGAATGAGACATCAAAGAACCCTGACGCTGCTTGTATGTTCTGTAGGGGAAAACGGAAAGAAAAACTAAAAATAACAAATAAGGAAATTTCAGGTAATAAGAGATCTCTTTTTTCTTGGTCACTGACTGCAATCCTGTCTTCTAGATATTCTGTCTTCAGATTGGTTCAGTCCACTGTGTATACTTTCAATAGAGTTTTTAATCTCCTGGATATCTGTTCAAATCTGTTTCATGGATTCCATTTCTTTCCTATGTTGGGCATTCATGGTTTCCTTTTCTTTCCTCTCCTGGGCATTCATGGTTTCCATCATGGTCCTGAGCTCATCTATTTTTTAATCTGTTTCTGTTTTAGAGTCTCTAATCATGTCTTTCATTCTGCTCAACATTTCTGTAGTTATCTGGGAAATTATTTATGTTTTAAATTTCTCTAGAGCCTCATTCATCAGTTTTATTACTTCCTGTGCTATCAGTTCAGGGTGTCCAGATGATTGATTATCAGACTTTTCCACCTTATTTATCCCAGAATTTGCCTTTGGTGGGGTGGAAGTCTGGGGTTGTGCCTTGCTTAAATGTCTTCTCATTTTTGTTTTTGGTACTGTCCTTGGTTTAATTCCTGTGTTGATACTTCAATATTGCTTATTGTAAGTATCTTTGTTGCTTGTATTTAGAACCTTAATGGAATGATTGCTTCTCAGAGGTGTCTTCCAGATATAGCTGGTCTTTAGGTTTTGAGTCTCTAATGACTCTGAGACTATCTCATTTTCATCATACCAGGAAGAACAACTGATTTGATTAGGACAATCAAAACACCTTAGCTCAAGTGATACAATCAGCAACACAGTAGTATCAAGCACATCTTAGAAAATGACAATCTGTGGTAGTTATTAATCTATCACCTTTAATTGTGTGAATTAAATCAAAATCAAGGACCAGCCCAACCTATGTTTATAGTGAATAAACTCTTCAATATAGCAATTTTACCCTTTGGAATGGGGACTTAGAAGGAGTTGGGGAGGGAAGGATAGATAGGTAGAAGGATAGGGAAAGGTGAGCAGTAAGGCCAGAGGACACAGGAAGATCACGCAAACTGTAGGAAACTGTTGAAGATAAGAGGAAAAAACAAAATGAAAGAACAAATATGAGAACAGAACAACCTAACAGCAGTAGGGAAGCTAGAAACTATTTACTTTCCTTTAAAACTAATGACAATCAAGAGAAGGAAAAATGAAATGAGAAAAAGAAAGAAATCCAAATTAGGGCCAGAACAGGAACATAAAGGGAGATAAAAAAAAAACAATGTGGGACAGCCAGAGAATGAGAGAGTGAGAGAGAGAGAAAAGAAAGAGAAAAAAAAATAAAGAAAAATTTGAAAAGAGTAGAAAAAAATTAAAAATAAGAGAAAAAAATTGAAAATAACATAAAAAACAAAACTTAAGGGCTTCCTTCAGGGTGTGTCTCTGCTGTCACAATATACAACATGGGCAGCAGTGTGCACATATAAGTCAATGAGTCTCAGCAAGCCAGTAGCAGACTCATGAGATTCAGGCAGATTTCTGGCTGCAAGTCCCAAGTTGAGTTCCCTGTGCTCCTGCAGGGTTGAACTCTGCAAGATTCTACTGAAGGTTCCAGCTGTCCTTCCCCTTAAGAGAGTCTAGGTTCCGATGAAGGGTGATAATCCCTTCAACTTACCAAGTATGGTGGTCTGGTGTGCCTTTATTGCAGAGATTCCACTTTTCCAGTGGGCTTCAGTTTTCATAAAGGGGCCTGAGAGAGGTCCTCTTTCTGTTGTTCACTTCTGCTCTATCTTCTGGAGCTCAGGACAATAGCCTTTATGACCCCCTGTGCCTCTGTAGTATGGAAGTAGGTACCTTCGCAGCCAGGAGGCCAGAGGCAGGACGGGGTGGGGGTGGGGGGTTGCTGAAGGCACCTTCGTGGCTAAACTGGTCACTGGGAGGTGGGGCGTGGGCAGGACAGAGCCTGCTCCAAGCCGCCAAGGTCCTCACCTTCCACTTGCTGGTCCCTGGGGGGTGAGGCATCTAGTACCTCACTTTTAACTTTGAGGAGGAGGTCTTCCAAACATAATTTCATAAGTAGTAAAACCTGCTTTATAAGGGGTGCATCTAAGTCTAAGGACAGCCAAAGGCAGCAGGCTGACCCACCCTTCACCAGTTTCCAATATCAATTTAGACAAAGTAGATTTTAGGGTCTGATTCATCTATTCCACTTGCCCTGAGCTTTGCAGTCTTTAGGCACAGTGGAGGTTCCAATTTATACCCAGTGCCCTACTGACTAACTGAGTTATAGAGGCTACAAAGGCAGGGCCATTGTCAGATCCAATGGACACCAGTAGTCTGAATCTGGGAATTAATTCCTGAAGAAGTTTCTTTGCCACCACAGTGGTGGTCTCCTGCCAAGTAGCATAGACCTCTGTCCAACCTGAGACAGTATCTATGAAAATTAGGAGGTAGCAATAGCCACCCACTGGTGTTTTGATCTCTGTAAAATTCACTTCCTAGTGTCCTCCAGGATTCCTACCCCAGAATCTGATCCCAAGGGATGCAAATGGGCCATGGCAGGGATTTACTTGTACACAGGATGGGCACCTAGGAGAGGCCTGGCAGGCCAGCTCTTGCAGCTTTGAAAAGCAGTATCTTGGAGCTAGAAGATCACCCATCTTGGATCCCCCCAGGTGCATGACCAAATGCAGCTGCTGGTTGAGCTGTCATCCTAATGCCTGGGGGAGGTAGATGCAACCATCTGGACATTTCCAGAAGCCTTGGGGATCTTTCTTTGCTTGCAGCTGGCTTGCTTCTTTATCTTCCTGTTCATTGTAAGTAGGGCTAGTTGGGAACAAAGGGGGAGGAGGACTCATGGTAGGCAGGATGACTAAGGGTTTAGGTGGCCTCTGGGCTGGTGGTCTGCAAGTTGATTTCCCTTAGCCTCAGGTGTTTTGTCCTTCTGGTGACCCTGAACATGAATGATAGCCACCTTCTTGGGAAACCATACCACCTCTAGGAGAGACAATATTTCTTCTTTGTTTTTGAAAGTCTTTCCTGGAGCTGTTAGAAGCCCTTTCTCTTTGTAGATCTTACCACCATGCTGCTTCCATCTGTGAAGAGGGTAGCATCTGCCTAAGCCAAGGGGGTGTCTGTTAAGTCCGATCAGGCCCCCTGGATCTGATCCAGCACCTCCTCAAGGTCATGAATTGGGATGTCTGGGTCATTATCTGGCATCACTAGCCAGATTGAGAACCTGTCCTGCCCTGCTGAGAAGACTATGTGAGGCTGGTCAAGCAACAGGCTTTGATACTGAGTGAGATGGGCATTTGACATCCATTTGCTATTCACCCCCCCGCCCAAGCAGAGTCTCTACTGAATGAGGGGCAGTTAGGACTAGGACCCATCCAAGGGTCAACTTATCAGCCTCTTTGACCAATAAAGCTGTGGCAGCTATTGCCCAAAAACTTGAAGGCTATCCTGAGGCCACAGGATCTAATCTTTTAGAGAGATAGGCCACAGGGCACTTCAAGGGTCCCAAGGACTCCATTAGGACTCCTTTAGCAACCTTACTTCATGGATGAATAAACAAAAAGCCTTAGTAACATTGGGTAATGTCAGAGCCAGAGCTGATACCAAAGTTCTTTTCAGATTCTGGAAGGTTTCTTCTTTATCTATTCCCCATTCTAGGGGTTTTCTCCTGTGGCAGAATGGATGGGCCATGCTATCTCAGCAAACCCAGGTATCCATAGGCAACAATATCCAGCTGCACCTAGGAATTCTCATACCTGTTTCTTGGTAGTTGATGTGGGTATCTGGAGGATGGCCCTTATCCTGGCTTGGAACAAGGCTCTTCTTCCAAGATTTCCCCAGGTATGATACTTTAGGGGCACAGAGTTGTGCCTTCTTGGCCAAGACATGGTAGCCCAACTCCTTTAGTAACTGAAGAAGCTCTTGCATCCCCTGCATGCATTCCGAATAGCTAGCAGCAGCTAATAACAAATCATCCACATATTGAAGCAGGGTGAGGTTAGGGTGGTGGGATCAAAAACTCACCAAGTCCTTCTGGAGGGCCTCACCAAACAGGGTGGGTGGATTTTTGAATCCTTGAGGTACCCAGGTGAGCTGGCAGGAGTAGTTGGAAACTGGATCAGTCCACTCCAAAGTGAAGATAGACTGGCTAGCTAGGGCAAGGGGGACACTAAAAGAAGCATCCTTTAAATCTAGCACAGTATACACTTGGTGCTCAGGAGACATCAAACTTAGGAGGGTATATGGGTTAGGGACAGTAGGATACAGAGTTACCACTTGCTGGTTAACTTCTTTCAAGTCCTGAACCAGCCTGTAATTTGATGTCCCTGGTTTCTGTACCAGTAGGAACAGGGTGTTTCATGGAGACTTGCAGGGAGTTAATATCCCAAAGTTCATCAACCTCTTAATGTGAGGGGCTATCCCCTGTCTGGCCTTCTGAGAGATGGGGTATTGTTGAGGTCTCATCCCAGCAAAGGGAATGGGCAGTCCAGTATAACCAAGAAAGAGTGAGTAATTTATTTTTATCCCAGGCTCACTAGTCACTCACTTGTGAGCAGGCAGTTTTGGACTGCTCCTGTGGCCCCCTGGATGGGAACAGTTTGTGATGAAAACTTTCCCAGGAGATTTTTTTAATACTGACCTCTTGGTGCCAGTGTCCACCAGAAAACAAACTTATTGGCCCCCTACTTCAACATTTACCATGGGCTCCCAGGGACCAAGAGAGAAGAAGCCCTGACTTCCTCAGTCTGAATCTTCTTTTTCCCTCGACCTGGGAAGAGATAGTACCTTGGCAGAGGGCCTGTGGGGGTATTCATTTTTCTAGTGTCCTTCCTCCTTGAAAAAGGCACACTGATTTCTGTCCAATGGCAGGTGTCCTCCTGGCTTTCTAGGCATCTGCCCTTTGGGCTTCCCAGGGATGGGTTCCATGGGGTCCCCTCTGATGGCTGCTCCCAAGATCTTTGCTTCTTTCTTTGCCAACTGCTCAGCCATGGCTATGGCCAATTTTTGTTATCCTGAATCCCTATTGTCAAACACCTTTTGAGCTACTTCTAACAGCTGAGATGTGTTCATTCCTGAGAATCCCTCCAATTTTTGTAATTTTCTCCTAATATCAGGTGCAGACTGAGTAACATAAGCCAAATTTATAGCTCTATTGTTCTCTGGAGCAGAGGGGTTGAACGGGATATAAACCAGGAAGGCCTCTCTGAGTCTCTCCAGGAATGCACTGGGAGACCCCTCTGGTCCCTGTGTCACTTCAGTGGTTTTTGAAAGATTTATGAGTTTCTGAGTTTCTGTTCAAATCCCATTTAACAAGTTTTGGTGAAAGGTGAGTAAAGCCTCCCTTCCCACTGAAGAATTTGGAACCCTTGCCTCAGCAATTCGTGGGCCTCCTCTTTTGAGCGCCTCTCCCCCCATAAGAGCTTTCTAGCTTCAAACCTAATCCTGTCCCATTCCTCAGTGGTGAACAGGGTCAATAACTGCTGACAGCCATCCCAGGTCAGTAGATGAGTCCTACAGATCAACTCTATCAGGGAAATCAAAATCTAGGGCCTCTTAGAGAATGGTGGATTCTGGGTTTTCCAGTTGTAGAGGTCAGGTGGAAAAGAGAACATATACCAGGAACAGGCAGTTTCCCAGTCCTGCTCCATCAGGAGGAGGTGCCTCCTCAAAGGCAAGAGAATCTCTGGACTGCATCTTTCCAAGGTGGTGACCTCTTGCTGGGATTGGAGATGCTCTCATATGGAGGGAGAGGTAGCAAGGGACATAAAGGAAAAAATGAGGGAGCTGGGGCCAGATGGGTCATGATGGACAGGAGAGGAGGTGAACTACGGTTATACAGAGGGGGACAGGGGAGGACTTCCTCAGCATCTGACTGCTGCAGAACCAGTTTCTGTCTCTTCAGAGTTCACCTACAAGGGAGAGAACAGTTTTTGGAAATAAGCAGCTTTTAATAGGCTTTTGCAGCACAGGCCTAAACAACCTTCCAAACTGCTTGAATGAAGGCAGGGTTCAGGGAGCCCTCAGAGGGCCAGCCCACACCAAAAGAGGGCCACTCAACCTCATAAGAAGTGTGGAGTTTGTCCTTTGATGATTTCACTCCACAATCATCAGAAAATTCCAAGGAAAAATTTCTAAGCATGCAGACCAGGGGTGTAACAGGTTGTGAAGATGACGACCCCATGGTGGAGAGACTTAGGGCAGGCAGGAGATATCCAATTTTAGGAGGTCCAGGAACACATAAAAAGATAAGAGCTCCAGACATAGAGAAAGAGGCCTTAGTGTTTATGTGGTGCACCCTTGAAAGATATCGTGACAGACAAAGGGAGGGGGTGTTCCTCTGTGGGAGGAACCACTTAGTTGGTTGACTAACCATGGGCCTCTCAGCCACTTTAAGGACCATCCAGGCTTTAGGGTGTATTTATCTCATTGCAAGAGCACCCACTTGGTCTTTCTTAGATGTGTCCATGGAACCACAGTACCACCCCAATCAAGTCCCATAATTCCAAGGAGGAATCCCCCTCTTTGTGTGGGGCACGGATGGAACAGTCTATTGTTTCCACTGCTTATTGCCAGTCATTCATTCATTCATACACAATCATTCAGAGGTTAAAGACATTCCAACCCTATCCCCGGAGATTTACCAGATTGGCTGGCTTACAGCCAGACCAGACCAGGGGGCCACCTCAGTCAGTGTCCTGACCTTATGGAGGGGCCCTGGGAAATGCCTTCATCAAGGACTGCTGTTCCCCACCCGAACCTGAAGGATCCTTACCAGAAAATATGGGCTTCAGAAAATTTGGAGGGCATCTCAGGCATCTCTGCAGTCCCTTCAGGGTTGGCAGTGAGACTATAGGGGCCTGGAACGTCTCAGGGGGCATCTCCCCTATAGTTTGCAGCCACAGATGGGAGGGATCACAGCAAGGCCATTCCACCCATTGTGGCCATCTCACTGGGGCCTCCAGCTATTATGGACGAGTGAGTTTGAACAATAGAGATGCACCACACTGTGCCAGATTCAAGCCCATTTACTATAGCCAGTGGCCAAGAGGGACTAGCACCCAGAAAGTTTCCTTGGCAATGGGAAGTAGTTTGATTTCTCCATTTAAATCATGCTTTCAGTTGGGGAGGGCTCAGGGGAGAGCAAGAGGAATCTTACAGAAGCAGAACCATTCCAGATTAGTGGGGGGTATAAGGAAGTTTGACACACACTAGGTGAGCTATAAAACATCCTATAACTGCAGCAAGTTTACTGCCAAGCAGGATGTGGGGGTTTTGGGTGCTTTTTTTTAAGTGCAAGCACTTTGTGCAAGCACAGATACAAAATGGCATTGAGTCAGGTTGGCTGTCATAGTAGATTGCTAGGAAAAAGGCCAGAAAAACTTGTTAAATTCTAAGCTAAAAACTCCCATCCAGTGAAGAGTGAAGAGTCACAGAAGTGCTGCAATTCAGTTATGGGTGACATGCAAGCCACAACCTATTGCCATTGCAGTCCTAAGATATTAACCATTTGTGTGTTTTTGCTTCTAGTTCTATTAAATGTGCAACCACCATGGACATAGTCCCATGTTTTCCAAATAATATCCAACCTAGAAAATGGTTCCAATTAATGAGCATTTCTCAGCAAATGCTGTTGTAGTTGGGATAAAAATACCCAAGTGGTTCATACCAGTCAAAATTTTATCCAATTTTATATCTTGTGGTGCTATAACTCACAGTGCATCATAGTATATATAAAAATCCCACAGTAATCAATTCCAATTAGAATGCATCTCCACCCAAGTTAGGTTATCAATTAAATTCTCCCAGATGAGGAGTATCTAAGGTAAATTACTTTGATCTTATCAAGTCTGTATTCTACAGTTTCAGTGTAGTAATCAAAATTTTTTTCAAAGAACAAAAGAATGCACAATTAAAATGCTTGTATTTGAGAGACAGCAAGATCATTTATCACTTTTTAAGCACACAGCTGTATCTAACTCTCCTTTGTGTTTTTTTCTGTAAATTTCAGGTGTTATTTAAATTCCCCTGCAAAGCAATGCAAGGAATTAGGGTTTTCAGAACTTTCCTATGAGGCATGTTACTCACACAGGTAGTATCCACTTTTTTGAATTTATGTGAAGCAAAGAAAAACACTGCTGTTCTGTCAGTTTTCAAGTCAAGGAGTCCATGTTGATTTCTTAAACATCATTTTGTCCAATTCCTCTTGTCCTCCACAAAGAACTCTCCCACATCAATATATCCAGAATCCATAATCAGCAAGTTTCTACAAAGGCTTGGCTTCTGTCTAGCTCCCCTCCTATGAGGTTTATTGTAAAGAAGGCACAATTCCATCTTCCTCCTGAAAGTACATGTAGAGTATTCCTTCTCTTGTTCAAGAAAAAGAAAAAAATCTGTGTTGATCATCTTTCCAGAGTGGAGCAAAATATCTGAGATAATCAACTTAAAAAGAGAAAAGGTTTGTTTTGACTCTTAGTTTCATAGTTTTTGGCCCATGGTCACATGGCCCTGTTGCTATATGCTTATGGTGGCACAGCATCTCATGATGGGAACACATGACAAAGCAGGATTCTCACCTCATGGTGGTCTGGAAGGAAATGAGACAGGCAGAAGAAGGAGTAAGGGTCCCAGTATCCTCTTCAAGGGTGCATCACTAGTGATCTTGCTTCCACTAGACCCCACTTCCAAAAGATTCTGCCCCCTTCCAATAGTGAACAGGGTGGTTACCAAGTCTTCAACACATGGGCCTTTGGAGGACATTTAAAATCCAAACTACAACAGCATCTAAATTTTAAAAATTGTATCTATATCTATCTCCATCTATCTTATCTGTCAATCAAATGGTGTGTGTCTATGTTACACACAAAATTTTAGTTTTTGTATTACTCTCCAAAAAGCTACATTAAACAAATCCATCCTAAGTCAATTTAAATTTAGCAGTTTATCATAATCAATGGCCAAATCCTGTTAGCACTACTCATTTAGAAGGCTAGAGCTTTTATCCTCTATAATCTAGCTGAACAGTTAGCTGAAATGCCCTGATCTATTAAAAAACATTCCATGTGTGAGACAGGAAAGGCTTTGAGCCAAACTAATTACTTGCTGTGACATTAAGAGCATCAATCCTTACAGTAATGCAGACACAATTTAGAATTGCATCTCAGAAGCCCTTTAGGACAAATTAATTTTTGCTTTATAAAAGTCATCAGGTGTCATATCTCAGTTTATGATTACTGAATACTTATGGTGTGACAGGCACTGTAATGAAGATAAAAGGTAGGTGACTAAGACATACTTCCTTCCTCTCAGAACTTTGGCGTCCAGGGGAGGATTAGTAGAGTGAGGTGAATCCTAGGATATCAGGATCACAAATGTTGCCCATAGACTGTCTTTTCTTTTTTTTGTGAAATAATGTTGGCTAAGGGTTTATTTTATTTACTCTTTCAAAGAACCAATTCTTTGATTCATTGATTCTTTTCTTAGCCTCAGTTGCATTAATTTCTGCTCTGATTTTTATGATTTCCTTCCTCATACAAGCTTTGAGTTTAATTTGTTCTTTTTCTAGAGGCCTGACATTCAATATTAGATTATTTATTTGAACTTGCCCTGTTTTTCTGATGTGGGAATTCACTGCTATAAATATCCCTCTTAGGACTGCTTGTATTGCATCCCATAAGTTCTGGAATGTTGTACTAGTATTATTGTTTAATTGTAGAAACTAATTTCTTTTTTAATTTTATCTGTGATCATTTATTGTTCCGGAGGGTATTAATTAATTTCCATGTGTTTGTGTAGTTTTTGTGGTTTCTTTTGCCATTTATTTCCAATTTCATTGCACTATAATCTGATAATATGCATGGGATAATTTCAATTCCTTTGCATTTACTTATGCATATTCTATGAGGTAGTATGGGATCTATTCTTGAGAAAGTCCTGTATGCTGCTGGGAAGAATATGTATTCTGTTTTTGTTGGGTGAAACACTCTATAGATATTTACTAAGCCCATTTGTTCAAAGGTTTGGTTCAGCTCTCATATTTCTTTTCTTTTTTGGTCTAGTTGATCTGTTTGTGACAGTGGGGTATTGAGATCCTCCATTACAATTGTATTAGTGCTTATTTGATTTTTCATATCCATTAGTATTTGCTTTATATAGTTAGGTGTACCAGTATTTGGTGCATATATATTTATGATTGTTATCTCTTCTTCTTGGATTGTTCCCTTAGTATGTGGTGACTTTCTTTGTCTTTTCTGATCAGTCTTGGCTTAAAATATACTGTCTGCAAATAGAATAGTGATCCCTGCTTTTTTCCATGTTCCTGTTGCATAGAGTATTGTTTTCCATCCTTTGACTTTCAGTCTGTGAATTTCTTTTTGAGTTAAATGTGGTTATTGTATTCTGCATATTGTTGGATCTTGTTTTCTGATCCATTCTGTGAGTCCATTTCTTTTGATTAGTGAACTGGTGGTTATAATTCAGAGGTATTGACTTATCCTTCTCATTGTATTATTTTCCTATTGTTGGTTCCCTTTCTTTCCATTCTATTTAATTACTTGCCTTGCCTGGTGGATTCATTCTACTGGGACTCTTAGAATTGTTGTCTTCATTGTCTTTTTCTAGAATATCCTTCAGAAGATTTTGGAGTGCTGATTTTGTGATCATGAATTTTTTCTGGTTCCATTTAACATAGAAGTATCACAGCCCTGTATTCTAGATCTGATATTCTATCTTCACATTGGTTTACTCTGCTGCATATACTTTCAATAGAATTTTTAATCTCCTGGATTTCTATTTGAGTCTGTTTAATGGAGTCCAGTTCTTTTCCATGTTGAGCATCCATGGTTTCTATGTCTTTCCTAAACTTCTCTATTATTTTATCTGTATCTATTCTAGAGTCACCAACCATTTTCCTTCATCATGGTCATCATCTCTTTATCTGTGTAATTATTTCTATTTTGGTTTTGTCAAGAGACTTATTCATCTGCTTTGTTACATTTGTTGCTACCATTTCAGAAAATTCAGCTGGGCAGCTTTTAATTTTTTCCACATTAATACCCCTTGGCTTTGTCTTGGGTGAGTAGGGGGTGTTGGGTTGCATCTCACTTCTGTGTTTTCTCAGTCTCTTTTTGGGGGGGATGAGGGGTGGTTTTCTGCATTGAGATTTGCAAATTTCTCATGGTAGGTAGCATTATTACTAGTATTGAGACCTCTTTAGGAAATGGCTACTTTTCAGAGATTTCTTCTAGGTATAGCTGGCTTTTGGCTTTTGAGTCAGTACCAGGATCTTGCCTCTTATGTTTATTAGGGATGAAATGTTGCAGCCTGTTTGGCCTACCACCCAGTTCTTTGGTACTGGACTGCAGAATTGTTTCTGACCTCCAGACAATATAGGAATTAGCATACAAGGGAGATCAATTGATCACAACAACTATGCCATTTTGGCTAAAGTAATACAACCAGTAATAATAATAGCATCAGAAACAGAGTGTAAAATGACAAACTCTGATAACAATTTGCCACCTTTAACCATATGTACAAGATTTACAGTTATATAACAAAATCTAAGACAAATCAGAATATTATATACAGTAAATATCCTCTCAATAGAGCAATTTTACCCTAAGGGGAGAAAATTTAAAAGGTATAAGAGGAAAAAAATAGAGAAATGAAAGAAGAAAAGGAGATTAGAAGCAAGGCTGAAGGACAATGGAAGATTACCCAAGCCCGAAGAAACTGATGAAGAAGGCAGGGGGGAAGGAAAGAAGGAAAAAATAAAAGAAGGACAAAACAAAACAAAAAAGTCAAAAACAATTTTCATACTAACAATAAAACAAGAACAAACAAACAAAAAATATTTTTAAAAACTCAAAAGCAAAAAGGAAAAAATAAAAAAGAAAGAAATTTCTCTGTGATTTCAAGCCTGTGGTTATCTTCTTGAGCCTAAGTTTTGTGATAGTGTCCAGTTGAATATGTGACTGCTCTTGCTGGTAGATAAGGGAGGCAGGTAGAGCCCAGACCCATGCTGAATAATCACCAGTAAACTGGTAGTAGGATTAGGGTGGTGTGCCAGTTATGGGACTTTAAATTCACAGAAATTCAGGCTGAACTGGGCCACTGTTCATGGGTTTGGGGGTCATTTAGCTTATAACACTCTGGGCATCTCTTGACAGCCTGACCACAACTCCCTGACCATAAATGTCTCCCATGGTTGTCACCCCAGTCACTGTGGGAGTTTAACACTGGAATCCCTGAGATGAAGCCAACCTACTGCTGCTCTGAGTCCTAGGTTCAGTTGGCCTCTCCCTATAATGGCATCCAACCAAGCACTCTCACCAGAGGATATGGCAGATGCTTGGAGTGGAATTACTCACCAGCTGTTGTAGGATACAGCATCCACTGCTCCATTTCACTGGTGCATTTCTTCCTAAACACCTCTATGGTTACCTGATTTCACTGTGTCTCTGTAGATTCAGTTTTCCTTTCTCACAATCCATGAACCAGGACCCTAGGAGGAAGCGTCAATGCAAAAAACAAATAAACAACCACAAAAATTAAAAAATGAGAAAACACAGAAGCAAGATGTAACCTAACACCCACAATTCACCCTTTTTCTGTGTTGTGGTCTGTCTCTTCAATTTCTCTTTAGGAACCTTCCTAGGTTCCAGGGATTCACCTCATTCCTTCTTGTCTTCCCCAAGCTGTTATTTTCCAGTGTCTGGTTTCTGAATCTTGCAGAGGCTGATTTGTTGTTGTTTACCACTCTGCCATCTTCCTGGAAGTTTTTGTTCTTTTAATACAAAATTTGCTATATGTTAACATACATCCACATAAACTTTCTTCTTCCAACAAATGGGTTTCTGATCATGTGGCCCACTATTGAAAGTTCTTGGGAAGATTACCATGAAGCATAGTCAATAGCTAGATTCTGCTGTTGAGCTAAGGTACCCATCTCATTAACATATTTGTTATAAAACAGCAAAAAGTTTATAATAATGGAAAAAAATTAGGACATGGAGAATCTTTGTGAAGGGTTGGGCATGATATGGATAATATGGGAAGAGAGATTTTGGATGTGGCAAAATTTTTATTCTCCTACCTGGGTTCTTTCACCCTTCCCCATTGTCCCCTTGTTATGCACTGATTATTTCCCTCACTCACCATCATTTCTGCCAATTTGAATACATGTTAATAGTATCAGTGTGCTAAATATCAGCTTGCTTATGTAGCTACCTGTTAACTTAATATAGATATTTGTTTCCAACTACTAGTGCTGTCTCCTCCAGTAGTTCTGCCACAAATTTAGAAATACACAGACATTGTATGTAGTATATCAACACTCTCATCACTATAGAATCTCTGTGAGAAAAAAAAAAGTACAAAAACCCATAACCTGTAGTTACAGGTATGTCACTACAAAAGATGTCAAGAAAATACATGAAAAGATGTTCAATACCATTAGTCATTAGGAAAATGCAAATTAAAACCACAATGAAACACAACCTCACACTTACTAGAATGGCTAATGTTTCAAAAACCTGACCATACAGAGTGTTGATGAAGACATAGAGCAACTAGAACTATCATACAGTATGATATAAATATAAAATGATATGCCACTTTGAAAGGCAATAGATAGTTTCTTAAGAAGTTAAATATATATATAAAATTTGATCAAACTGAGTTGGCCAGTTTATAGGTACTTACACAAGAAAAATGAAAACTATATCCACAGGAAGACTTGTCCATAAATACTATACAGCACTAGCCAGGCATGGTGTTAATCTAAGTGCTGTAATCTCAGCACTTGGGAGACTGAAGAAGGAGGATCACTATGAGTTAGAGACCAGCCTGAACTACATAGCAAGACCCTGTAAAAAAACCAAAACTATTCATATAGCTTTATTTCTAATACTTCTGAGCTGTAAAACATTCAAATGTCCATCAGTAGCAATTGCACAGGTTGAGGATTTTCCATGCAATGAGCTACTATTTGGCAATGAAAGGAGTGGACTATTGGTAGGTGCAATAATAAGGATAGATCTCAAAATAATTATTCTGAGTGAAGGAAGACACTTAGATAAGAGTATATATTGTATGATTTCATTTATGTAAAATTCCAGAAAATGTAAACTAATCACTACAAAGACTTGATGCAAATTAGCATTGTCTGGAGATGAGGATGGAGGGTGAAATAAGGAGGAAAACTTTATAAAGGTACATACAAAAACTTTAAAAGGACTAATATATTCAATATCTTGATTGATGTGATGGTTTCAGATATGTATACATGTGTCAAAGCCTACCAAAATTTGTACTTCACACACACACACATATATATATATATATATATGGAGATTATTATATCTTATAAACTTGTTTTTTAATGAGACTTCTATATGGTAATTTTGTACCATGTAAAGATGGAAAGAACTGGTTCACATCTTTTCGTTACGTTTTTAATTACTCTCTGGAAGATCTCTTAAAAGTTCAGGTCAGCAGAGTGTAGGGATGAGTGTTCTGGGTTACTTATCACCCCACTGTACTTTTATCTGTTGGCTTGTCTATTGTATCTAAAAGTATTTCTTTGTTTAAGTCTATATTTTTAAAAAGAAAGAAAAAATGAAAAAAAAGGTTTTAAAATTTTGTGAGTATACTATCCCTTTGAGTTAAAGCTACCTTTAGTTATTAAAAAAAAATCTACTATATTCTTGGCTTTTTTGAAAGCATTTTAGAGAGAAAAAAAAGCAAAAGAAATATATCAGAGGCAAACTAATCATAAGATGTATTCCAATTTAAAAATATTTAAAAGAATGGTTTAATATACTCAGCAAGAATTGTGGGAAGGGATGTACAGGGTTATACTGTATAAATTCAATGGTGAGGCTGCGGTCTCAGCACTAGGCTAGTTCAGACACAATCTCCCTAAAAAAAAATACACTAAAACCCAAGCTTCATACTCAAAATTGGTCTCTCCCCCCAGATTCCATACAATCCCTGATACTGTTATTATAGCCAGACTCCAGCTTATCTCTTAAAATATAAATTGGTTTTCACTCATTCAAAATTTTACTCAGCACCTAGCTCTAGTTCAGACACAACAAGGAGCAAGACATATGTGAGTCCCTTATCTCATAAAGTTAGTATTATAGAAAGAAAAATTTGTGAAAAGTATACAAATTCAAAAGCAATGTGGGTTCAGACAGCGGTAAGTGTTATAAGATAAAGCAAAACCTTTCAGGGACATTGGTTTGTGGACTATGTCTGACACACACTGTGAAGCTTTTCTAAGTAACATTTACTTGGGGCCATAAATGATGTGTGCAAGTTATGTAAAAATCTGTAGTACAGGATCCCAGACAGAAAGCATAGTAAGTGGCTGTAAGGTCATGAGGTGGACACAAGCTTGGCCTTTTTTTATGAACAAATAAGAGGGTGGAGATGGTTGGAGTGCAAGGAGAAAGGGGGAGTGATCAGAAAGGAGGTAGAACAAAGAAGCTCTTTTAGGCCACAGCAAGAAGCTGGCATTTTCTTCTCAGTGTGATGGGTAGAAAGTTTCTGAACCCTCTGCTGAGGCTCAGAAAAAAAAATCTAAGAACAACATTGAGATCAACATTCTTATCTATTCTCTACTACAAACATCCAGATTCCCTCTGCCACTATCACAAAATATAAAAGTAGTCAGAAAACTGCATTTCAGCTAGAAATCAAGGAAATGGGCCAGTCACTTACTATAAACTTAGGGGAAATTTTGCAAGATACAATGTCAATGAGATGGACTAATTTGAAAAATTTGGCCAGTACTGCCTATTGCAACCCAGTCATCAAAGGAACAACTAAGAAGCCTAGAACCCAGCATAACTTTCTTGCTCACATAGGAGTCTAGGCTGAAGGTGAGAGTGGAGCAAAAGATGGTCTGAGGGTATAACTGGATCCCCCCGGTCATTTTGAGACAGTTCATCTGCTACCGGAGGTCGTATTTAGTAGGTTCTTCCACTGTCACTTACTGTCAACATGCCTGCAGTGAGGATAAATGTACTTGACAAATACTCAGGATACTACCTTGACTCACTGTATGGATGGATCCAGCCTGACATGACTGTAGCCATTCTGAGTTGTAATCACCATGATTGCCCCAGAGTAACCCCAGTGAATTATTCCTACAAACTATAAATAGACGAAAACATTAGAGGGATATGATGGACACTGGCTCCAGAAATGTGCCTGGCTCTTTGATATTAGCTTAAGATAAACCAGTAAAATCCCAAACTAGAAAAATTCACTATTGACCAATATATACAGTTCTCCTTCTGACCTACATTTCAGGGATCTGCCTGATCTTGCTGCAATCCAGGACCATACTTCTGTGAGTAAAGCCCCAATAAATTGCACTCTGTGCAAACCTGGATATGTCTGTCTCTTTTCTTTGGTCTCATTGCACTTTGGAGCCCATTCTCATACATTGTGATGGGCTATTTTAGAACACTGATATTTAAAAAGGTCATCCTTGTCATGCAAATAATGAAAGCATAGGTAAAACAACTTCCAATTACATAACAAAAAAGAAATAAAACTTCTTTGAGATACAAATTAATTTCCAGTCACAGCTGCTTTTGGACTTGGCTCCTTCCCCACTGTCCCTAGACAGTTTGATGCCTAAACTAGCAAAGGAAAAGTACATTACTGTCAGGTAAAAGGCTGAAAACCAAGATCAGACCAGGCCACAACAAGCCTTTATTAGGGGAACAGATCTGCTGGGCTGTCTCTGAACAAAAGAGAGACAAAAGCAATATGGCCAGGACAGAAAATGTCTTTTGTAGGAGCGGGGGTGGGGCTTGTAGGAGCTGAGGTGGGGTTGAGTGAGGTAGTGGCTAGGGACTGGAGGAGCCTGTGACGTCACTAGTTGCTAGGAGGAGAGCAAGTATTAGGTTACTCTTTTGGTGGGAGTAGGGGCATGTTGGAAAGAAGGTGGCTATTATATACAGCAGCCACCCTAAATTGGAGGGAAATCTATCAATTACAATCAAATTATGCCCTCCATCCCTCCAATTGGACATCATATAAAGTTTGTAAGAGTCTATCTTTACTTTTCATGCAAGACAAAAATAATCCCAGACTTCCCACACATAGTAATGTTTATGGATGATAAAAAAAATACAAGAGAACAAAAACAAGGGAATTAATTTAAGAATCAGAGAACTGTTTTCCCATGAAATATAGTTGCTAGGACAGGAAAAATTTTAGGAAATTTCTAAATGAAGTTTTGTGAGATTCAAGAGGAAATAGAAACTTCAATTCTAGAGCACATGGTAATGAAACATTAATGAAGACAGATCTGTTGCTTGGGGAAAGTTTGATAAATATGTCTGGGTGCCAAATTTCTGAACTCCATTATGCTACCTCCTCAATACCTTGAGAAACACCACCACCAGAGTATGTACACAGATAACAAATTATGGCAAAAACCACCCCAAATCATGATGGCATCTCTCCTTGCGAGTTGGGCTACAACAAATGTTTTTGATAAGTTTTATTTCTACCAACCCTTCCTACCCTGGTTGTTGCTTAGTCTCCCAAGAGCAACATTTCCAAGTGGTAGGGACACCAGAGTCTTCCTATAGCATGAGTTGGACAGGTTAAACGAGGGAATCAATCAAGTAGACACATCTGAAAAGAAGATGTACAAGTTGGGAGACACCTCAGCAATTTCTACATCTGTTGTCTACTTTTCTCACTAGAAACACTGCTCCTTTCTGAGGCTGGAGGGGAAAGCCTTGAGCTCCCCCTAAGAAGACAGACCACATTGTAGCACCTCCCAGTCTGCATCACCCATGCGATCCACAGTTGTCCACCCTTCTGTGGAGGAGGCACTGGGGATACTTCTTCTTACGGAACTCATTGTTCCATGTGTTTAAGCTCATCATACTGTTGCACGCATGAGCCCCTTGAGGGCGAGGCTATCCTTAGGTCTTCTCCTCCTGTTATAATGGTACCTGGTACTAGATGGCTCTCCACAAAAGTGTTTATTACAGGAATGAAAGGATCATGAGAAATAAAAAAAAAAAGCACAAACACTTCTAGAATGGCCATATTTTATTTTGAAATGTTTATTTTTTTCTTCTACCCTTTTTCTATTTTTCCCTTCATCCATATTATAACTGCCAATTTATTGCATGTGCAACATGTCACTAAATTCTCACAATTCTATGGGAACAGTTATTTTAAGAGGAGAAACTGACATTCAACTAGACATGAGTTCCTCAGAGTCACATTGCCGGGTGGTATTAAACAATAAAACAAAGCCAGGTTTTCCTGGATTCAGCTTCTATGATTAATTGGGCCACTTTCCTATTTTCCTTTAGATTTTTACTAACTTTAGCCTTAATTTGTCTGCAAAGGTCTATGTATACACATGAACATTGAAGATAACATTCTTTGCTGTCTTGCTTTTTAAAAAAGATCATTCATGGGTTGTAAAACCAAACAAAATAGCACTAGTTCTCACCCTTCATTGCACATCATAATCATCTGGGGGACCTTTTAAAAATGACTAGCACACGAGCCCCATCCCAACAAATTTGGCTTAATTGGTCTAGCATGGGTCAGGCACTCCAATGTTTAGTAGACTTTTAATGTACTACCTAGGTTGAGAAACCACTGCAATACAGAAAAATAAAAAGAAAAAAGTTTTAATTTGTGATACCACTGTGAGACCTGAGTGACTCCATTTTAAAATTTTGGCCCCATTTTAGAATAAAGGTGGCCTGGACATAAATTCTAGTTCCAAGAAAAACCACAAGATGCACTTTGGCCACCTGCCTGTGATAATGTCCAGCAGTCCCCTAGCAACTAGCCTAGCAACAGCTAATCGGTACCTGCCTCAATGTCCCAGATGCTCTTCTCGATGGCCTGCAACAGCTAATCAGTAGTTACCCCAATACCCCAGTATCCCAGATGTTCTTTTCCATGACTTGAGAAGCCGTTTGCAGTTCAGCGCGCAAGGCCCAGACAATTAGATTTAAACTTTCAAAACTTGCTAAATGCTAGCCAATTGTGTGATTTGCGTCTGATTTGAAACTCCGCGCCTTTTCGAAACCCCGCACCTTGCTGTAACCTCTATAAAAACCCCTGGTGTTTTAGAGTCAGGGCTGTCAATCTTGACCCGCTGCGTCGGTGACAGTTGAGAGTCCCTGCTCGAGCTTGAATAAACGACCCTCGTGTGTTTGCATCGGAATCGGTTCCTTGGTGGTCTTTGGGGACCTTGCGATCTGGGCACAACACCACCACTCACAGATAACTACCACTGTTAATTTTTGGTGAATTTTT